TAGTGTCCTGTGAATGGTTTTGCTTCTTCCTGTGTGGGGAATTCCAACTGGGATGCAATAAATGTCTGTAATATGGTTTGCTCATCTAAAATTTGGTGGCTGATGAGTAAATGGACTTGGTATTTCTTACCAAAACCTGCGTGAGTGAGGATGGCAATGAGGGGTCCTTGGTGCTCTTTGAGTTTGGTTTCTTGCAGACATTATCCAAACTAGGTAACATCATGAGCACTGATGATACTACTTGAGTAATGAAACATCTGCCAGAAAACCACCAAACTCAGAGAACTCCAAGGAACTCTCACTTCAACCCTGAACTACAAATATTTTCCTTTATTGGAGGATGGTAATGTTATCCTGACAGAAATTTATCGTCAATGCCAAGGCTGAGGAGGAAAGGGAACATTGATCCAGAAAAAACATTTGTATGTGACCAGATGATCTTCCCGTGCTGTAGTGGGGAGTGGATTCTTGTATGTCAACTTTGAGCTATAGGGACAAATTAGGAATCTGCTGTTGTATCAGCCATCATGCGGTCAGTGAGATCTCTGTCCATGTTGCTGGATCTAATCTTGGGGCTAATGTCAAATATATTCCACTTCCAAGATATAAGGCTGGATCCTGGATTTCATGATTTCCAATGGCCACCATAAGCTTGCTCCAAATAATGTTGGGCATACATGCACAGAATAACAGAATAACAGAGTTGGAAGCACTTTGGAGGTCTTCTATTCCACGGATCCCCAACCCCTGGGCTGTGGCCCGCTACTGGGCGATGGCCTAATTGGAATTGGGCTGTGTGAGTGGTAGCTGGCTCAACTTGCACAAGCGGTGGGCTAGTGGGGACTCATGCGCATGCATGCTGGCCCAACTCTTCTGTAAGTTGAGCTGCACGTGTGCGCACTGGCCTGCCACTTGCACAGCCCAGTTTCCCTCTCCTCCATCCAGGCCACCAAACCGCAAAGGTTTGGGACCACTGTTTTGGTCCATTCTCTGCTCAAGCAGGAAACCCTATACCAGGGGTAGGAAACCTTGGCTCTTTTATGACTCGTGGACTTCAACTCCCCGAATTCCTGAGCCAGCCATGCTGACTCAGGAATTCTGGAAGTCCATGAGTCATAAAAGAGCCAAGGTTGCCTACCCCTGCCCTATACCATTTCAGACAAATGGTTGTTTGAAGAATAGGTTACCCCCTCTTGTTTGTGGCAGCCCCTCAAATTTTAGAAGACTGCTATCATGTCACCCCTAGTTCTTCTTTTCTCTAGACTAGACATACTCAGTTCCTGCAACTGTTCTTCATATGTTTAGCTTCCAGTCCTCTAATCATCTGTTGCTCTTCTCTGCACTCTTTCTAAAGTCTCAACATATTTTTTATGTTGTGATGATCAAAACTGGAATGATTATACACTGAACCTTGCTTTTGTCTCATGGTACCCCACAGATCCAAACAGAGCAATCCAGGCTTTCAACATCATTTCAACATTATTGTTCCTGAGCAACTTCTCAGCATGGTAATCCCAAGCGGTTTCTTTGTATACCAAGATTCTGCAGGAGATGAAGTGGCAGAAGCAGCTTCTGGTGTGCTGATGGGAAAAAAAGGTGAAAAGTGAATACAACCAAAGTGAATCAGGTCTACGTCTTCTCATTGTGAGAGCCAGCGGATTTGTTTAGGATCACTAACTCCCTAAATTAAATCTGTTGACCGTGTGCTGATTTCATTGACAAAGCTGCACAGATTTGTCAGCATATTTATTCCTTATTGGAGGAGACTGATAAGGTAACATCTTGCCATGTTCTCTGGGATTTTTTTTATAGTTTGTAGATTTTGATGAAATTGGTAATGTTCTCTAGCATGTTTCCCCTGGCTTCTTCAGGAAGCAGGTGGAGGCAAAGTTGTCTGGGTCCGAGATATTGTCCAGGAGAGCAAATTTGGTCTAATGCAAGGGTCTTACAAACATGGGATCTTTAGGATTTGTGGACTTAATTCCTCAGCCTGCTGCAATTCTGGAAGTGGAAGTCCACAAGTCTTAGTTGCCAAGTTTGGCGATCTCTGGTCTGGAGATCAAGGTACCAGTAATAGCAAGAGCAAGAGCACTTATATACCACTCCATAGCGCTTTACAGCACTCTCTGAGCAGTTTACAATGGCAGCATATTGCCCCCAACAATCTGGATCCTAATTTTACGGGCCTCAGAAGTCAACCTCAAGCTCACCGGGATCAAACTTCAGCCTGCAATACTGAATTCTATCCACTGTGCTCCCAGGGCTCTCTGGCCACTAAGCTAGAAACCAGGGACTGTGTGTTCTAGTCCCATTTTAGGCATGAAAGCCAGCTGGGTGACTCTGAGCCAGTCTCTCTCGCTCAGTCTAACTCTCCTCATAGGGTGGTTGTGGGAAATATAGGAGGAGGAAGGAGTAGTAGATATGTTCCCCACCTTGTGCTAATTGTAAAAATAATAAAGGCGGGATAAAAATAAACAAGTAAAATAAAAGACTGTCAGTGGTTCTGCTGATGCTGGAAGCTATAAAACAGGCCCTCCTTGGCTGTATTTTACAAACATTGTCTAGTCTCCAACTTTCCCTTTTTTGGAAAGGATGTTGAGAAGGTAGTAGAAATTCAACAACAAAATACCCTGGTCAGGGTTCAGGCTTGGACATAGGATGGAATTTTTTTTGCTGACTATTTTGTAAACTGGTGAGTCTGTATTGATTTAGCAGTATACAAGGAAAAAAAATTAAGCAAACCAATGAATCAATGAAATGTAAGGTGATCAAGACTGAAACACTTACTCCTAATGTAATTCAGTACAATTTACATTTGAATCAATCTGCATAAGGTAAGTTGTAAAATATAGGAAGGATGTTTCATAAATAGTCAGTATAAAATGATAAAATATGCTGTAAAAGTAATAAAAATGTTTAAAACCAACTGCTAGTACTCTGAATCAAATGTGCAGTTCCAGGGCTTTAATATTCATTTAGGAATATGCAGATACGTCTTCAATATCCATCATGATGAATCACAAACATTTTTTTCCTGGTTTGAATTTTACTGCAATCCCAATGCTAATGTAAAAAAAAAAAAAGAGAATTCCTAACAACTTCCACTGATACTCTGTATAGCTCTACAATTCAAAGTGACAGAGAATTATGAAGTTAGAATATCAAATCTGATGACATCCCTGCATTTTTCTTCCTGTTATTTTGTCCTTTGCCTATTCCAACCAAAAGATAGAAACAACTATGTCTGGAATATTTTAATCAAACCTATGCTGCCTTTGGCACTTTTTGAATTTTGCTCAACAATAACTGGTAGCCATCTATATAATTATAGGTAGTCCTCAACCTATGGCCACAAATTTCTGTTGCTAAGTGAGACATTTGTTAAGTGAATTTTGCCCCATTTTACAAAATTTCTTGCCACAGCTGTTAAGTGAATCACTGCAGGGGTTAAGTTAGTAACACAGTTGTTAAGCAAATCGGGCTTCTCCATTGACTTTGCTTGTCGGAAGGTTGCAAAAGGCGATCATGTGACCTCAGGACCCTGCAACCGTCATAAATATGAGTCAGTTGCCAAGTGGCTGAATTTTGATCATGTGACCGTGTGGATGCTGCTAGTGGTTGTGTGAAAACAGTCATAAGTTACTTTTTTCAGTGCTGTAACTTTGAATGGTCACTAAACAAACTGTTGTAAGTCAAAGACTATCTATGCTGTATACAGAAAGCTCTTAGGACGCTTCCTGCCCCCATGCAGCTCCTGGCGTCATGTGCCTTATAGGCTACCGGTAGTGATATATTTTTATGTCAGTGTTGGTCAAATCTTTTGGCCTTGGATCTAGCTTGCTTTTTGCTAGAACCCAAACCCTATTAGCCTTTCCATTGGTGTCTACCCAAGGGAAAATAATTTGGGTCAAACTTACATTTAGAATTAGGGAAAAAAGTGCATCCGAGCACAGGCATTTATTTTCAGAACCAGAACTGAACTCAATGATTCTTCCACCTCATAATTATAGGACAGAGTGACCCGACTCTGACATCTCTTGCTTTCATGAGAATAGGTAACATTCATAATGTAACCTCAGTGAAATGGAGCTTCTCTCCAACCTGGGTTTTCCTTCCCATCTTCTTTCTGGCTACTGGAGGGGAGCCATGGTTAAGCAGCTTTCCTCCCCCTGATATATTTCAGCTGAGTCAAACTGAGTATCCTGAAATGGAGTTTTGAAAACTGTAGTCATATACATCTGCAGGGCACCAAACTGGGGAATGTAGCTTTATAACTTCCCATTTAACATACTCCTTTGAGGTTCCATGATGCTCTCTAAGCTTGTTTTGTTTTCTTGCTTATGTTTCCTTACCCAACTAGCTCACAGCATCAGAAAACAACAGCCCAACCAAGAAACTACTAATTCAGCGGAAAAAAAAAACCAACCAAGGAATCAAAGCACCAAGACCACTCCTACAACACTGACAGGGCAAACCACTAGATCAGGGGTCTCCAACGTTGGCAACTTTAAGACTTGTAGTAAGAATTTAATTTAAGAATTCTGGGAGTTGAAGTCCACAAGTCTTAAAAGTTGCCAAGGTTGAGGGACCCTGCACTAGATTACAGAGAACCCCTCTTCTTAGCACTGATGATATTACCTAGTTTAGTAATGAAATGTCTGCAAGAAAACAACCAAGCCCAGAGAGCACCACGTTCAGCCCCGAGCTACTTATATTCTCCTCTATTGGCGGATCCCTCAACAACTCTCCTTGCTTCCCGTCTCTTCCTCGAGGATTAACCCGAGGATAACACGGAGCTTCCAGATCTGGGCTGCAAAATCCGGGACGCCCACCAGATGGCAGAAATAGAGACGCAAAGGCGTCTCCAACCGCCCCGATGTGGCAGAGGGCGGCTGCGCTCCTCCAAGAAGGTGACTAACGCAGTGCCTGTTCGCCGGGCTTGAGACGCGAGGGGTCCTCGGGAGCAAGGCTGTCCTCGTGGATGCCTCTGCGATTCTTAGCCAGCGGCTTCCGGTTCCGGTGAGTCAGTGCGTGACTTGAGTGTTCGCTTGAGAAACCTGTGAGCGATTCCGGGCTGGACGAGACCGGCCATGGCGGACGGGGACGCGGAGCGGACCGATGGCCGCATCGTGAAAATGGAAGTGGATTACAGCGCTACGGTAGACCAGCGCCTGCCCGAGTGCGAGCAAATGGCCCGGGTAAGCGAGCGCAGGGTCGGCCGAGGGCTGAGTCATGGCGCGGCCCGACTTATAGGCCGCATCGGCCCTTGGCTGGAAGCGACTCCCTAGGAATCGGGCGATCGCCTCTCCAGACTGACCCGGGCCGGGGGCTCTGGCAGGGCAAGTGGGAGAAGAGCGGAAAGGCGCTTTCGGCTCGGGAAACCGCATTGCCCGGCGTTGGGAAGGCGACGGAGATGCCGCAGACCGATGGCTCCGCTCCTTGGGCGGCTGGGATGGGGAGAAACGGGGCGAGATGCTGCTCTCTCCCCCTACAAAAGTGTCACTTGTGCGTGTGAGAGGCGAAGTGGGTTTCACTCCGTATTTCTATCATTCAGGAGTGGTAGAAATCGGGACGAAACTTCCCCCTCCTCTCCCCCCCCCACTGCTTTTTCGGAGGAACGAGGCCTCCGGAATTAAATCCGTACGGTTGCTGCCATAAGAGTTAGACCTTTCCTGTATTGTGACGTTATGGCGGCTTTTCCCGAGAGGTAAGTGTCCGCTTGCATTGGAAGAAAGAGGCAGTCATGGTTTTTTTTTTTGTTTTTGAGGTTAGTGATGGCAGAAGTAAGCTTGAAATTTTCCGACCTTTAACCGGAGCTTAAATTCGGTGGGTTTCTATCTCGCTGATAAATCGGGGTTGCTGCTGCTTCGTGACTTTTCGTTTTATTTATTTATCTCAGTGTTTCCCAAACTTGACAATTTTAAGGCATGTGGACTTCAACTCCCAGAATTCCACAGCCAGCGTTGCTGGCTGTGGAATTCTGGGAGTTGAAGTCCTCATGCCTTAAAATTGTCAAGTTTGGGAAACACTGATTTATCTTATTTAGAAACCACCCATGTCTCTCACAGAGAAACCCCTTAGCTTCCTTTTAACACTTGTCCAAGTTACAAGAACAATTATTATATGGTGAAATAATATTAAGAGATTTGAATGTGTATCATAATATACTGTATATCTTGGATATCCTATGAATTGTTCTCTTTTATTTGTTTCGTGCACATGGCATCACTGCTTAGAACAGTTACGTTTTCTTTCATTTGCTGTGTGTTATTAATGCACTTTCACAAAAAAGGGGGGAATGGATACTTAAGTATAACATTTTTCACATTGTTTTTAGAATTGGGTTCTCATGATGCTAAGCTAGATTTACTTCCTAGAGAAGTAATAACTTATTAAAAATGTAAGTTCATGGAGGAAAAGCAATCTATCCAGGTAGCTAATTATCTTGTATTTAGCGCCCATCACTATCCAGACCAAGTGATGATGGTGAAGAACTGTTGCTCTCTGCTATATGGATTACATGTTGTCCTGTTATGGCTATGTACACTTCACTTGCTGAACCCCAAATTATCAAACTGGATTTTAATTTAGTTTGTTGGCCTAAACTCAGTGTTGTGATTCATTTATGATTAAGCATACTGTATGCATTTAGATTAGGTGATAAAGTCTCCCTACTACATCTTAATTTCTAATGATTTCAAGAATGCATCCATATTATATTGGTTTATTGGCAACAGTAGAGAAATAGTTAGGTTTTATCCAGTTTTTTTCTTTAAAATATTCTATTTCTGAAATTTTCTGATGGTCATTTATTTGAATACTAACCTGATTTTAAATCTGGTTAACTGCTTAAGATCAGCCAAGGTTGACTAAGTGCAGTCACCTGCTTTATATTGGAGTAAACCAGGATTAAATTGTACATGGAAAAATGTGTAATGTTAAATACAAGCTAAAATATTGAACAGAGTTTTGTGCAAGAAAAGGATCATTAATATTCCTTAGAATATTATAATACATGCAGACAAAAGCAAAATATTCACAGTGGGTACTGCCTGGGCCTTCACCTCCCTTTTGGCTGTGGAAAAAAATAAAAATTATCTGGCTAAAGAAGTTACTGCACATAGTTGGAACTTCAGATGCTGCCTCTGTCAGTGGAGTGATTTGAAGACCTATCATAAGTTTTCTCTTTTGTACATTTCTTGAACATAAAAGTTCCTCCCTCCCTCCCTCCCACCCTCCCTCCATTCTTCCTTCCTTTAATTTCTGTAGCTGCCCAATTTATCAATCCATATTTTTGGTATGATTAAATTATTGGAGGAAGATCTCCTGCCTCTCCTGATTTAAAAAAAAACTATGCAGCGGCATGAAATTACATTCTGAAATGTTCAGTTACTTGTTGGGAATGTTGTCCTTTAACTGCTATCTTTTGGAACCAAATTTTAATTGCACCCTTATTTCATTTTGTCATGAAGGGCTTGATGTAACACATTTTTGAATTTGTTTCTTTGTGTAAATATTTTCCCCAGCTTGTTTTTTTGCAATACAAAAGGAATTTTTCAGGGCCGTACACTTTGGCAATAAAATACATATAACTGGATACAATAATTTAATTGGAAGAGAATAGCTAATGTAGATTATTATATTTGGCAGAACAGAAATGCGTTTGCCGTTTACTTGAGAGGAAGCAAGTTGCATCTGGCAAAATAAGGTGCATGCTGTAATTTCCCTCTCAGCATCTGATTGAATACCTTATAGATTTGATCGCGAAAAACATTAGAAAAATAATTTCTGAAGGCAGCTTTAATAGCATCCTTTGAAATTGAGTATAAAATTCCTTTGAAATTGAGTATAAAATTAAGGAAATGGATTCTAAATTCAGGAAACTGAAAGGTACAGTTTGACCCTCACTTTTTAAAATGGTTATATATTTTCTTGGTGATATTAGGTAGCTTATTTCAGGGATCCCCAACCCTCAGGTTGCAGCCCATAACCAGGCCGTGGCCTGTTTGGAAATGGGCCGCATGAGCGGCTGGCTGGCGCATGCGCACAGCTCGACTTGTGCAAGTGTTGGACTGGCTAGATCAGTGGTTCTCAACCTTTCTAATGCCGCGACCCCATAATACAGTTCCCCATGTTGTGGTGACCCCCAACCACTTATACATCACCGGGTGCCAGGGGCGTGGCCAAAGAAAAGGGGGAAAAAATGGCGGACAGCCTTGTTTGGCAACCCCCGTGAAATGGTCGTTCGACCCCAAATGGGGTCCCGACCCACAGGTTGAGAACCACTGGGATAGATTATGTGGTTGGTTTACCCAGCAGTCTTGCTGAATTTCCATAAACAAACAAGATATATTTTGGCTTTGAAACCATGGCTACTTTGAACCAAGCCATAGTTTCCTAGCTTATCATCACTCCTGACTTAGAGTCACTCTGACAGTGAGATGGGCGGTACTTAAATTTGGTTAAGTAAATAACATGTTTTCATCCAGCTTTGTTAGATGTTGTATTTACTGATATATAACTTGGCAATTCATCTAATTTAGAAGTACTTTTTTCATTTTGTTTTAAGCACCCCTATTTCTGTTTTAGGATGGAAGGCTTCAGGAAGCAATTGAAACATTGCTGTCATTGGAAAAACAGACTCGAACTGTAAGCATTTTTAAAATGAACTAATCATTTCTTCAATTTTTAAAATTAGTCATTGTTTTCCTCATAAATTGTGTGTGACTTCTTCTGCAGATATCAAAATAGTAATTGATGTCTTCCCCCCCTCCAGCTTTTTATATGTTCTTACAGACAATGAGATTCTCATTGATTTTAATTATTATGATTGTAAAAAACAGTGAAAGAGAATTAGTTTACGTCTATGAGAGTTAGTGCTTAAATAATAATAAACTTTCTGATAAAGTAAAATCTCCATTTATGAACAAAAATAAGATGTGGAAAAATAGTGATATGAGTACTGGAATAATGAATTGATCATTTGTGAATTCTGAGTTACTTTTCCTCCTGTATACTTGATCATGCAATCAGAAATATGTTTATTTTCATAAGTAGTTAAGTTTTTAAATTTTTTAAAGGAACTCTTACAAATATTTTACACTAAAAATGATATTTTATCTCCCATGGTTTTTTTAGGCTTCTGATATGGTTTCCACATCTCGCATCTTAGTTGCTGTAGTAAAAATGTGTTATGATGCTAAAGACTGGAATGCTCTTAATGAAAACATCTTTCTTCTTTCGAAAAGGAGGAGTCAGTTAAAACAGGTGAGTTTACTGAGGGGAGAGAGGGAAGTTTAAAAGGGTTTCTCCTGCTTTCCTATTCTTGTTGCAAGATGTTGTCCATCTGTTTCTCCCCCCCCCCCCAATTATATGAGCATATTTAGGATGCTTGGTAACTGGTTCACCTTTATAATTGGCTGCAGCATCCCAAAGTCACATGACTACAATTTGTGATGTTTTTTGCTGGTTTCTGGAAAAAAATGCTCATTCAGCAGAATGAGTTCTGTGGTGTTCGCTTAATGACAGTAGTGATTTGCTTAACGACCACCACAAAAATGCTGTGCAGTTGGGTTTGGTCATGTGGTTGCCATCGACTTATGACTAACAACTTATGACTGGAAATCCAGTCTCAATTGCCGTTATAAGTTGAGGACTACCTGTATTTCTTTGATGTAATCTCCTACACTACAGCTTGGCAACTGTTGGTATATGACGTTGTAAGTAGACAGATCAAGATTTCATACTTGTAAAGAGAATTGCATGTATGAAATCATTTGTACATAGCAGGTCAAATGAAAAGCGTTTCTGTATTTTGAAGATGATTTCCTTGCAGTTTAAAATTATTTGTTCCTGTTATTTTAAGATTTCTGTAAGGGATTAAATCCTAATGATTTTTTACCATCTTGTATAGATTAGCTTTTATTGTTTAAACCTGATAGTAGGTTTCACTTAAAGATTACATTTGGTGTAAAATCGACTTTTCACTTCCTATCTGTTGCAGTTTATGCATAGTGACATAAGTGTTCTGTTTGTAGCATCCCAACTAAATTTCTCTCATTCTTGTGAAGTAGGCTGGGTTGAGAGACAGAGACAATAATTATTAAGAGATAACTAAATTAAATTACTAGCTAATTTTCTAAGTTTCTAGGTAATTTTGATTGCTTAACGGATAATTTGAAGGTACTTAATAAAGTTTTAATGTTAATTATAAATAATTTGAATGGTTTATATTTATATCCAAGGCTGTGTTTTTATTGTTTTATAAAAATGATTGCCACTTGTAGTTGGATTTATTGTGATTGTGACAATGAATAATAACATTGCTTTGACTGAAATGTGATACTCAACAAATTGACAAGCTGTCAGGTGGGAGACTTACTGATAGTTTATTTATGTTGTTTAAAGTTTTTTTTTGCTCCCTTTCAACTATTGCCTGATTGCTTTAAAAAAAAACACCCAAGAGATGCATATGAAGCAAACAGTACAAGATATGTAGAATACAAATAGCAGTCCAAAGGCAAAACTAAATTGCGCTATTTTTGTTTTTAGTGAAGGTGTTCACAATGCTAATATATAATGCAAAGAAAAATTTAGTGTTTTAATTTTAAGTTGTAGAAGTTATGATAAGTAAAGAAACAACTTCTTTTGGAATTCTAAAGTAGTCAAATGACTTATTCTTTTCCACATAGTACTGGAGAAGTTTCTTCTTTTAGCAGCTTTACATTACTAAAAAGTAGGAAATATTAGACAAAAATAACTATATCCTCTTATAGGAAGTTTTTTTTGCTCCATGTGGCGTATATGTGAAAATGAAGGCAAATAATCACTGACAACTTCCTATTTGTTTTGTCATGTCTTCCTTGCATTGCAAACATTTTCAGTTTCCTTGGCTGTTTTGAAATAAAATTGCATAACAGGCAATATTACTGAAACAAATGAACACCAATGCTACTTGTGCAAGTTTATATTCAGTAAGTGTAATCTTTCTCATTATTTATGCTAGGCAGTTGCTAAAATGGTCCAACAGTGCTGTACATATGTTGAAGAGATCACAGATTTGCCAACCAAATTGCAGTTGATTGACACATTACGTACAGTGACGGAAGGAAAGGTAAGATTTTCACAATCTGTGGCTTTTTAAATTTCTTCATCATACTTCTGCAACACTCAGGGGTTTTTTTTTTTTTGGTGCCTTGCAAACTAAATGTTGTTATCATGAAACAATTTGATAAATTCCAACTTTAAAATTTGCTAACGGAGGGCATAAAACAGCATAGAAATGGACAGCTCCAAGAAGTCAAGAAATACATCTTGTGAATGTACGTGAAAGATGTGAAGGGACAGCCTTGAATGCCTTGGGAAAGATATTCAAATGCCGAGATGTGTCTGTACCTACAAAGATCAGAATCATACAAAGCATAATATTACCTGTAACACTCTATGGAAATGGATGTTGGACTTGGAAGAAGTAAGATAGAAAGAAGCATTGATGCTTTTAAATTTTGATGTTGAAGACTCATGAGAAAAATGTGGATAACTAGAAAACAAACCATTGAACAAATCTTCCCAGAGTTGTCATTTGAGGTACAAACGATAAGGCTCAAATTTAATGTGTTATGTGAAGATCTAGCTCTCTAAGGCTGGGACAGATGGATGGATAGAAGAAGAGGGTGACCAGCAGCAAATTGGGTTGACTCAGTTATAGTGGTGATGAGTGCACCATTGAAAGACCTGAAGAACTAGGTTAGGAACAGATCATCACGGAGAAAATCTATGGGGTCACTAGGATTGACAAGAACTTGATGGTATGTAATCAATTAATCTTGATCCATTCATTCTTTTATTTGCTTTGTGATTCAGTCCTCATTCTTTCTATACAAAAGCCATCTGTTTTATACTGGTCACTCGCATTGTATTCAATCTGCATGTATGCATTTACCCATTCATTCTTGCCCTTCTCCTTGTTTTATCACCTGAAGTTCTTAAGAAACTTACTCTGTTTTCATCCAGTGTACTTTTATGTTTCTTTTGACATGTCCAGCCCAAATGGCAGATGTCTAGTTTTGACAGTATTACTAGCTTAGTACATAAGGGACACTGTGTCTTGACCTCAGCAAAGCATTCAACAAACATAATATCTTCATTAAAGAAATATAAAATACAGGTGAGGTCACTGTTAGATGGATTTGTAATTGATTCTCAGCATTCAGAGAATACTGATAATTGGCTCTACATTAGCTTGGAAAGTATTGAATAGACCAGAGGTCCTCAATCAATACTGGGCTGCGGCATGCCAGCAATTGGTCTGCACAAACAAACAAAGCCCCATCCGCGAGATGCAGGCAACACACAAAACCATGCACCCTCTAGTCTGTGGGAAAACCTTTCTCCATGGAATCGGTCCCTGGCACCCAAAAGGTTGGGGACCTCTGGAATAGACAACAGAGCTGTCCTGGGCCCTGGGATGTTTAGCCTTTTATTAATGACTTAAATGAAGGGTTTTAGGGGATGATATCAGAGTTGCAGGTGTCATAGAACTAGCAGCTAACACTTTATAAGAGTAAATCTTGTGCTCGCTCTGTGATTGCACTATGTGGCTTTTTTCTTAGCATTTGTATTGCCTACATGGCTTTTAAAAAAATTTTTTGTACTGTTTTTATGTTTTAATTGTAAACCTTCCAGACTCATGAATGTGAGATGGGTGGCGTGGCACAGCACAGCATAGTATCATCTTTATATTTTGCAGTAATCATCTTACCTGCATTTTTCTTTCATCCACAACCTCTTAATTTTTTTCATTCCATCAGGCACTTTCTTGCATAATTCCAATTGGCAGGATTTCCCCCTCTTCCATAGCATTCTGTAACAATTCTTTTCAACCTGTTCCAAGCAGCTTCTACACTAATACTAATCTTTTGTCGTCTTCATGCAGCATTCTTGCTTTTTCTTCTTAAAGTTGGTTTACTTTCACTGTCTTTTTAGCTCCATTCCCTAAGCCACATGTAAGCATAAATTGACTTATGCTCTAACCCAGTGGTTCTCAACCTTTTCTATACCCCGCATCCTGGAACGCTTCTGATATATTCTCGCACCCCTTACAAAAGTTTGAAATAACGGCAACGAATTATGCATATACCTCATAATTTTGAAAACCCAAGTTTTTGCACCCCTTGGAACATCATCTTGCACCCCCAGGGAGTGCGCACACCCCTGGTTGGGAACCTCTGGTCTAACCATATATTTGAAAAATGCCTTGTTTTAAGCCAGGTACTATTAAACAATTACTGATCTCCCAAAAGTGTAACCACTTATTTTTGCTCTTTTACTTTACTGTAATCCCTGTAATTCTTACAATGTTTTATTTCCTGGATTATATCCATCTACCTTCACTTCTCTGCCTATATTTATCAGTTCCACAAGATCGGACACCTTCATTAAGATCTGTTGCACCCTTCTTCCTTTTCTCTATTTCACAAATACGCACAATATGTATTTTTTTTTAATTTGGTTAGTTGCTTCATCCTTTTAAAGTATTTATTTCTATAGTATTCCAAGTTACTGCCTTTTCAAGCTGGCCCATAAATATGGATTTCTACCATATATCATGCCAAAAACACGATAAATGGAGCAGCAGATGATAGGGATGTAGGATAAGGAAGTATTTCATACTCACAATGGCTTGTCCTGATATTCTCAAGGGGTTTTGTATCGAAAAAAAAAAAAAAAAAAAGGTTAAAATTTGAACACCACTGCTAGGTGATCCTATGGGGAAATTTTGTAAAGCTTTCATGAAAGAGGAAAGCTCAGTAAAACTTCATTAGAAATCATGATTTGATTTGGGTAATAAAATAAAAAGGGGGTTTCTGAATTATATCTGCATTCCTTTCAGTACCTTCTTGAATTTTTTTCAGCAATTCCATTAATACTTATGTTTTCTCTAGTTAAAGAAGTGAAGTTTTAAATGCTGTATAATTGGATCCATTGTATAAAAAACGTCTTTTTATGTTCTTGTCTTGGTTCAAACAAATAACTTTAAACGAATCAGTATACTCTTACTATTGCTTTTATTCTTGTCTGAAATTAGCACTTTTGTCAATATGGCTTACCACAAGTGCTTTTCTTGGTTACTGAATCGGGAACATATCATTACATTAAGAGTTTACGTACTTGGAGCTGGAATAGCTAAAATAATAGAGTCACCTTTGATGGTGAGATGGGCAGCATATAAAATGAATGAATGAATATTATATAACAGTAGAAAGATAAAGCATGACATTGATAAATGTATGTTAACATTTGTAAAAATAGTCAGGCTTCTTCCACGTGTACAATACTAGATTTGTGCAGTGGTTAATTCTTACATAAAATTCAATGCCTTGCTATTTTTAGATATACGTTGAAATTGAGAGGGCTCGACTGACAAATACATTGGCAACAATAAAAGAACAGAATGGTGACGTAAAAGAAGCAGCCTCAATTTTGCAGGAACTTCAGGTAATGTAAAAGAACAGCTTAGCTTGGGATCAGTGTCTGTGTTTCAAATACTATCATCTCTCCTTTTAATTTTTAACAGCTGTTTTGATCAGTTATCCAGTAGTAATATGAGAACATTAAATAGCACAGATGTTTTGGTGTATTTATCTCTTGTGGTTTTGAAACCTTTTTAATAGAGTGGTTAAATGCATTGCCTACACAATATTGTTTACTTCCCAGAAAGGGTTACAAAGCTTACCTTTCCCAGCCTGAAGATAACCAACTTTGTAGGAGCTTCCCCAAGAAAACAATGAAGATATTTTCTAAGAAGGTGTATTAGGTGGGGTTTGAAATCTAGTGTGGTGCACATCATCTTTTGCAATGGGAGTTTTTTTCTCCTCCTGCCCCCCAGCCTTTAAGAACAGACTGTTGAGGACATGGCCAGGGCAAATTGTCCTGATAACAATTTGCCAAAAAGCTTAAATTTTACTTTCAGTTTGACCAAAATTCAAAATAAATGAAGCTTATTCAACTAGGAATTGAACAAACGTGCCTGTAGAATCTTGTCATACTGTAACTGTTTTGATTTGCTGTACACCAGGGGTGTCAAACTCAATTTCATTGAGGGCCGTATCAGCATTGCGGTTGCCCTTGGGGCGAGTGGGTGTGGCCAGGGTGGGTGTGGCCTATGGGGTGGGCGTGGCCAGCTCTACATTGTTCGCATCAAGGGGGCCTGTAGAGGCCTGGGCAGGAGTGAGACAGATCTGAGGGTCTCTGGCAGAAGGAGGTGGGACCGGGGCAAGCGCCAAGGCATGGTGCATTTCTTCATTCCTCACGAAGGGTGACACCTCCCCAGCATGCACCCAGGGAGCGGGGCTGACATGGCAGGGTCTGGTTCCTCGCTGTTTCCAAACGGCCTTGTGGAGCTAAGACTGAATGCGTTTCAGCATAGATGGCCACCACAAAATTGTACATTGATTCCCGGCTGGCCAGGGCCAAGGCAGTGGGGGCCGTTCCCTCACTATTTCCAGGATGGTTTTGCGGGCCACATGAAACCACGTCGTGGGCCGCATCTGGCCCCCAGGCCTTGTGTTTGACATGTCTGTTGTACACTTATAACTACCAAACAAAGAGTTTTATTTAAGTTAAAAATTAATAACTGCTTTTGTTAGTTTTGGGCATAGTTCTTAGAATTTCACGTGTCACAGTCTGTAATACTTTAATGTTCTGAACATTAGGTGGAGACCTATGGATCGATGGAAAAGAAGGAACGTGTGGAGTTCATTTTGGAACAGATGAGGCTTTGTCTGGCAGTAAAGGACTACATTCGGACTCAAATTATCAGCAAAAAAATTAACACCAAATTTTTCCAGGAAGAAAACACCGAAGTATGTCTAGTGGTAGAAAACTTTTGATTTGCTGATTTATGAGGTGTTATTCACACATCTTAAATAGTTCTCACACTACTGGGGAAGTGACAGATGTGTATGCTTAATGTGTCTCTCCTAACCCAACATTATTTGACATTTCAGAAACTAAAATTGAAATACTACAATTTAATGATTCAGTTGGATCAGCATGAAGGTTCTTATCTTTCCATTTGTAAACACTACAGAGCTATTTATGATACACCCTGCATCCAGGCTGAAGGTGAAAAATGGCAACAGGTAACAACAAAAGAAAAATGGGTTATAAGCTGTTAATGTCTGTATAGGCAAATGCTGCCTTTAATGATTATAATTAGCATTTTAGGGGGAAAAGTGATTCATATTCCATTACATTTCTTCTTGTTTCTAGAACAGCTTCAACATTACTTTTTTATTAAATAAAATGTAGTTAGAGTTATATTTGATAGAATAGAATCTTATCAGCCCATATGGAAGATACCTTCAAACATAGTTAGATACTATTTGGTGCTTTTGCAAATGGGGAATGCTTCTTTATGTCTTAAAATTTACTTTAATTCAGTTGAAGCTTTTGAAGTAGAAAGGAGTAATTTTTCATGTATGTCTGAAGTTGTGTCACATATTGCTTAAATAGTTTTTCTCCAAGCTAATTTTGAAAAACTGCAGGGAGAATGAAGAATCAGCATTGCTGGATGTGCAGGCAGTGCTGGAGGCTGGTTCTTTGTTTTGCAACATTTAGCTTCCTGTCTTTTTAATTGAAATATATGGGTACACTGGAGACCCAGCTATATAGGCCTCTGTTGCATTGACAGAGAAAACACTGGGCAGAGAGATCATTCAATCTGAACACGCTTAAGTAACTTAAACAGTGCAGATTTTTTCACATTCTGTGTATGACAATTGGGCAGAACCTTTGAAGGGTGACCTTCATAAGTGCAGGATTCTCCATGGATGCTCATCTGTCATTCCACCTTGTAAACATGTGCTCCAGCCATATAGTCAGTCTAGTAGGAACCTGAACCAAACTTGGTTCTCATGCATGTGGGGACATGAAAAGTTAATAGGTATACGTGATAGTAAAATACTGATAAGAAAGAAGTCAGATTTTAGCGCCAAACAGTTCAAATAGGTAAAAATATGTGTGAAAATTCTGAAAAGGCCCAAGAAGAAAAAGTTACTTGAAGTGAACTGATATCCAAAATCTGCTACTGATAAAAATACTTGTAAATTATTTAAGATGCAGGAAACCAGAGCTCCTATTCTGGTAGCAGTGATATTCCATATAAATAAACTTTGATACAAAGAGGAGTGTGGAAAAAATGTCTTTAAAATGTAATTCACTGCTAATTCCTTCCAGCAAAGATATCTTAGGAATTGAAAACTCTATACATATTTATGGAACAATGTTCCAAGATTTTGAAAATGCTTTCAGATACATATATGGAAATCTCAATAATTCCACTTTAAAATGAAGAATTCTAGCCTAGTAAGAAAGCTTCAAATTGTTTTCAATGAATTTCCTTAATTTGTATTTAAAATTGATGATCGGTTTGGCTCCTTTCAGCTCTCCAAACTTGTAATTCCAAGTTAAGTTTGATTACAAACTGGTACATAAAATTAAAAAAAAAAAATCAGCTTCTTGTTCCAAGTGGTCCTTGTAATATTTTTTATTTTCATATATTACTATATCTCTGCAAATTGGTTTTTTTTCTCTTTCTCTGAAACAGGCACTGAAGAGTGTTGTCTTGTATGTCATCCTATCCCCTTATGATAATGAACAGTCTGACTTGGTGCATAGAATAAGCAGTGATAAGAAACTAGAAGACATTCCCAAATATAAGTAGGTGGTTTCTATTTTTTTTAATTTAAGAATACATTGGGGATGAAATCAGCACAAAGGTTAATTTGCAGAATATGTTCCCTGTAGAACAGTGGTTCTCAACCTGTGGGTCGGGACCCCATTTGGGGTCGAATGATCATTTCATGGGGGTCACCAAACCATGCTGTCCGCCATTTTTTTCCCTTTTCCCTAGCTGTCCTACTCCCTCTTATTGATGGCCACACCCACTTGGGGGTCACCACAACATGGGGAACTGTATTATGGGGTCACGGCATTAGAAAGGTTGAGAATCACTGCTGTAGAATTTCATATATTCATAATGCTGTGTTGTTGGTAGGGAGATGGCTAAGATATATAGTGAACATATTTGAACTACCTCATTTATAGAATGTAAAATAATAGTTGTGATGTTGGTGTGCATGTAAGATACCGATTTCTGTTCCCAAGTTTGTATATGTATATTGAAACTGTATTAGTATCCTTGATGCATATTTGTAAATAATTTTTGGTAAATATGTGCATACTGGTATGTATAGTGATGCTGGTATACTCTTTTGAATTAATAGTTTATTTTCTAACATGTTAATGCAATTACACCTATCTAATAAAGCAAGTAAGGTAGATTAATGCACTGGTACCACTGGCAGAATTCTTTTAGAAAATGCAGTGTTCTGATGGATGTGAAGATGATTTAGCCATTTACAAAGGCTCTCTTTTTTGAACAGAGATCTTTTAAAACTGTTTACTACTATGGAATTGATGCGCTGGACTACCCTTGTGGAGGATTATGGGAAAGAATTGAGGGAAGGATCCCTTGAAAGTCCTGCAACAGATGTGTTTGGATACACAGAGGAAGGTGAAAAAAGATGGAAAGATTTAAAAAACAGAGTAGTGGAACATGTAAGTCAAATCTGTTTTTTAGCCCTTCATCATTAATAGCAGTCGTCCTTTTTATTCAAACTCTTTTGTCAGTGGGACTATGTAGTGCTTATTGCCAAACTCTATTTGAGAAGTTATTTTTGACAGATACACATTTGTGTTCTAGTTGAAATACAGGAATATAAATTGAATAGTGTAGCAGTGCTGTTCCATATAAATTAACTTTGATACAGAGAGGAATGTGGGGAAAATGTTGTCTTTAAAATGTAATTCACTGCTAATTCCTTCCAGCAACTTGTTTGCTGTACATTAGAGTTGTATCTGAGAATATCTTGTATGTTTCCTACATATTAAACTGAATAAGTTATTTAACTCACTCTCAATAAGTATTTGAAACGTAAGCAAATGCTTGAATCCATTACAAGATTTCCTTTTATATTTTAGGAAATTATTTCAATTAATAACTAATATCTAATTTCAACTAATACCTAAAAATCTATCCTGATTTTTTTTCTTTAGAATATTAGAATAATGGCAAAATATTATACCAGAATTACTATGAAGAGAATGGCACAACTTTTGGATTTATCAGTTGATGTAAGTGATGCTTAAGATTGCTTATGCCTTTCACATTAGAAAAAATATATGACACTGTTGAAAAAAGAGCAGTATTTTTGGAGTTTTTAGAAACCAATTTCCATGATGATCTACATTTAATTTAGTAGTACAATCAGTAAATCTCATTGAGATTGTGAAAGGAAAAATATCTGAATAATTTTTTTCTGTATAAATCAAATATTTTTCTTTGATGGTCAATTAAAATAAAGACTGGTGTCTGCTGAGACATACTTGGTAAAAGGATCGAACTCCTGGCAGTGGGCAGAGTCAGCCTGCAGTACTACATTCTAACTACTGCATCACCAGGACTCTGCTATGCAGATACTGATCTTTAGTTACAGATTTGTGTTGTCTCATGCAAGATTATTTTGACACATCGATTAGTTAATTTATATATTAAGATTGGTTGAATGTAGTTGAATACGGGTAGTCCTCTACTTATGTCTGGTCTTTTAACAGTGGTTCACAGTCACAGCAGCCTCAGAACAGGTGCTTTCTAGCTTATAAAATGTCATGCCAGCCTCTACTGGTCACATGACTGCATTTCAGAAGCTTGGCAACCTGTTGACACTTATGCCTAGTTGCCAAGTGCCCTGCAGTCATGTGATTGCATTTGAAATCATCTCTGCACGTTTCCCCAGAAAATCATTGGGGAAGCCAGCGGGGAATGTTGCAAGCAGAGGGGACTTGAGGATTTGTGGTCTGTTCCCCCAGAATGCTGAGGGATTTCCCCTCACTTCCCCATGCAGGGAGGGGAAATTCTCCCACGTGTAGAGGAACAGGCCTCAAATCTGGCAAAAAAAGCTAGCGAACCTTTCAGAACACTGGTGTTTGCTAATGTTTTAGTAAACACCATCATCTCTACCCTGCTGGAGGGGAACCTGAGTCTTTCAGAACACTGGCATTCAGTAGCATTTTAGCGAATGCCAATTGTTACCACCTTCCATAGTGGAAAACAGTGAAAGCCAGCTCTCTGAACCTTCCAGAACAATGGCATTCGCTACCATTTTCACCAAATGTAATGCCTGTTCCTCCAGCGCACCATAGGATTTCCCCTGTGGAAATTCTGGAAAATCCTTTGGCATGTTGGAAGAACAGAACTTGGAATTCTGGAGGACTTCTAAACTGGGGGAAAAAGTGCTAGCAAACACCATAATTATAAATCTAAGTGTTGTTGCTATAATTCTCATGATTAGTTCTTCCTGGTGGGGTCGGGAGAGAGCCCATGCCTCCTGAGTGTGGTGGTAGGGGCCTGGCCCTCTTCCCAGCACTTGGTTTGACCCACATAGTCATTTAACAACCATAGCTGGGAGAGCCGGGATTGCAGCTAATGAGCAAAATGATGATGTGACATCTGGCTTAGCAGCTGCCTCACTTAGCAACTGAGATTCTGGACCCAACTGTGATCATAAATGAAGGACTACCTGTACAATTAAAATTTCAATGCCAAACCACGTTTTTTTTAAAGTGATGACATCAGATAATCCAGCCAAACACAAATATTACTTAAGTACATTTCATTGGAAGTGTGTGTGTGTGTGTGTATTCATTTCTGCAGAGTATGGATAACTGTGATGTACTATTGTGAAACAATGAAATTTCATTCAAAATGAGTTGTTTGACTACCTGATTCTGTGTCATTTATTTGCTTTACAGGAATCTGAAGAATTTTTGTCCAACTTAGTGGTGAATAAGACCATCTTTGCAAAAGTTGATAGGCTGGCGGGAATTATCAACTTTCAGAGACCCAAGGACCCAAATAACTTACTCAATGACTGGTCTCAGAAGCTCAATTCCCTGATGGCTCTAGTTAACAAAACTACACACCTCATTGCCAAAGAGGAGATGATACATAACTTGCAATAAGGTGCCTCAGTAGCCTTAATGCTTTAGAGAGGCATTGAATTGGCCATAGAGACTTTATCCCACTGTATATTTTTTCATCTCTCCCTTCCAGATGAAACTTAGAACATAATCACTCTTGAAGAATTGTTGACAATTAAGTTCCTTTGATTATTAATTTGGTTTATAACAATTTTTTTGCTGCAATTGATGGGGAAAAATAAAATTGTACTGCTTGTGTAATGGAAATGGCCTTTGATTTATCCCAATTCATCCTGGATTTGTCTGATTTGCATATCTTTTTACACTGCTAGATATATGTTGTAATACATTCTTTTATAAAGAAATGTGACAAAGTGTTTATTTAATGTTGATTCTCTTAGACTGAAATTTCAAGCATGAAACAATTTCTCTCCAATACTAAAGTATGGTAGGTTTATAGCAGATCAAGAAAAGCATGGAATTAAATTGTAGCTGTTTTGTATGTTTTTATACATCAATGCTTTTCACCTACATTTATCTAGGTACGTTAACATAAACAGTTACCAAAAAAAGTCTAAAGCATTGCTGATAACTTCATTATGTTTTGATGAAGGAACTTATCCAGGCTATTTCAAGTAACCTTAAGATCTAAAATGAAAGCAAAATGTAAATAAATCAAACTGGTTTTTTAACCTTGCATTCAACTGGTAAATAGCCATTTAAGTTTTGGCTCATAAACTTGAAGGTTAAATTTTAAATGTACAGGCCTGCAGAGAGCTATATGCTGCAATTAATTAATTATATGAGCCATGTTCAGATATTAACACAGGTTGTTTCCAACTAAACTTGTTTTTAAAATGGCACTTAAAACACTATAAAGCATGCATAGGTAAGTGTCTTGGATACATTGAGGTTAATGCTTTGAGCTTGCATTTTTAAAATTGTATTCTTTTATATTATTTGGCAACTTGCAAATTTTCATTGGGAGATTGTGATGCGGCGTAGAGGGGTGGACTCTGCTATTCTAAAGAACAAATTGGTCCAACATTGGATCATAGCCTATATAAACAAACAAAAATAGATATTTGTTACATGTTTTATTCCATTTTGCATGGTACGATGTAAATAGAACAGTTGCTTGTACAGGCAATTTTTTGTTTAGGCTCCTTCTGAGGTTTACTATTTCATATAAGAATTGTTGATAGTTAATCTTCATCTCTTGCTGTTGTATCAGATTATTTTTTTGTCAGAAACTTGAAGTGAGTTTACACAGAACTTTCAGCGAGCTTGTGATCAAGAGTTTGTTTAGACCCTGGACCTCAGTTAATGGCTTGATTTAAAGAGATGCCTGTAGAAGAGGAGGATGGAAAGTGATATTTCTGAATGTTTTCCAACCCCCTCCCCCCTAGTCTCTTTGATATAGGAGAACTCTTTTTGTGGGTTAGGAAAGGGCAATAGATAATTTTCCAGAAGGAGCCACCCTAATCTTGGCCCTGTAAAACTTAACCTTTAATTTAAGTGCTATGTATTGCATGTGGTGTCTTAATAATGTAACTAAGGGCCAGAAGATGCAATACTTGACATGAAGTGCTTGTCCAGCGTACTATGTGTGGCTATGTTGTGCTGCTCATGTTGTGATACAAGCCCAGGGAGTATCTAAAACCATGCTTGATTCTCATTACGTATTAAGGTATACAAAATTGAGAGATTCATTTCTTACCCGCTTTTACTAAAGTTAGCACGTGTCATAAGGCCAATGTCAATTGAACTCTGTTGCTACATTGCAAAATGTTGATCGCTGCCTTCAAAGATTACAGAAGGTCCCACTGCCCAATTTTTAGATAGCTTCCCTTAAATTCTTGTGCAGTTGTTCAGTTTATGCAGGATTATTCTACACAACATTAAAAAAAATTTCAGTGGCAAAAAAACCCCAAACAAATGCACTTAATTCTATGGATTTGAACAAATGCCGATTGTCTTCCCCCCCCCCCATAACACAATCCTAAATTCTTCTGAGTTTCTGTCTGCTATGACAGTGGTGCCTCCTGTGCTTTTTATATGACATTCAACTTATATGATAGATATATTTTATTTTCCCTGTGGTTCCTTTTGCCTTTTCCAGAGGGGGGTCTAGGACAACTCGGTGCGGCCAACTTGCCACAGGACAACTCGTCACAGGACAAGAGTTACACTAACATCGAAGAAATGGTGGAACAGAATCATTAAAGAAAGGATGCAAAAGGAGGGGCAAAATGAAATGTAAATGGCAAAAATTAAAATATTTTTCAAATTATTGTAAATACTTGAATTGTTCCTCAGAGTTGTCCCACGGTGAGTTGGCCGCACCGAGTTGTCCCATTCTGTTCTAGAGCAGAGGTCCCCAACCCTTTGGCCACCAGGGACCGGTTACGTGGATAGGTTTTTCCGTGGACCGGAGGGGGTGTGGTTTTGTGTGCTGCCTGCATTTTGCAGATGAGGCTTTGCTTTTTTGTGCGGCCTGGTACTGGTCCACGGATTGGGGGTTGGGGACCCCTGTTCTAGGGTCCATTTTAAACACTCATCAGAGACATGCATTCCATTAAGTCATTGCTTAATCGAAGTTTGCTGAATAAATCACAATTGGCCATGTCTGTACTGTAATTTAAAAATTCTTGTGGCTGGGATACCAGAACGTACCAATTAAACCAATTGCATTATATGTGTTGTGTGATCCAGGTGAAAATTAACATCCACTCCATCAAGATACTTTTGTAGATTACAGACTTTTAGCAAACTGAAAAAACTCTTGTTTTCAAGGGCCTCCCTCTGTATGGTTCATGTATACAATACATTTGAAACCATGGTAGGAAAGTCACAGTTTACTGAAATAAGCTGGTAGGTACAGTATTTCACCTTTATCTCTTACCCTTAAATTAGAACTGATTTAATTGTACATGAAACATGTCAACGGCAAGTCATTAATAATGCCTTGTACGGGCTGTATATTTTCTGTAATGCATATAGCTGGTTTAAAGATTGTTTAGTGGAAATTGTATCAAAAAAGGAGTGTTGTTGATTGCAAACCAGACAAGTATTGCTTTATAGGTAGCTTTAGTAAAAAACAAAAAATAGTGGTTCTTGCCTTCACATTTGCCTGTGGCAGGCAGTTAACATATGTACATATGACAACTTAATCTGTCAGACTGGAATGGTGTATTAACATGCAAATCCTTTTTCTTCAAGAGCTGATGAAACCCCATTAAAGTTCCTTCTTTAATAAGATTCAAACTCATTTCCATTTCCAATGCAGTGGAATAAAATTCAGAAGAGAGGAGTGTTGTATTAAGTATAATTTTGATGAAAAAATGGCACAAAAACCTATTTGAAAAGCAAGTTACAATATAAGCATTTTTAACAAAAGTAGCTGATTTTGTTTTCTAAAATGTTCAGCAATTGCACTACCCTACACATTTTTTTTCAAATAGATAAATAAGTATTTTCTTTTCTGATTATTCACCAGCAGAATATCATTGTCAGTGTATATCATCATGAACTTTTTGGAAGGATGGTAAAAAAAAATGGGATTACAGTATCAGATAATGTGCTGAATGCTTATTACATTTATCTAGAATGAGGTAAATCAGAATGCATGCACTGATTTGTCTGAGCAAGAGTAAATTTTTAGGGTGTCTACTTGAGATATAATTTTAATAAGGAATATGAATATGTTGTGGTAATTCCATGCAATTCTGTTGTGCTTGAATTTAAAAAATGATTAGATTTACTACTGACTGCCACTTAATGCTTCTAGACAATTGCTACTTGTTTATACAGTACTTTGGTAAGATTAGATCACATGACATAAACCATGGTTTTTAGTTAATTGAGATTCGGTAAATGACAAATGGTTGGATTTGCAGAACATACTAAAATAAATAAAATGGCTGGATTCATGTAACTTAAGCCAAAATTAAATAAACTGCATTATGGCTTAATATGTTGTGAGAAATAAGTCATATAACATCTATTAGGATGATTTATTAAGTGTACATGCAAAACACAATTTTTTGCTTAAATAACAGCATAAATATAGTATTCACTATATATTTTCAAAAATAACCTGATACCCACTGAATGTTTTAGACAACTACTCTTACCAGTCATAAGTTGTGCTGTGAGGGAGTTGTGCTAGTTGTCATTCAAACATTTGATGGGTACAATATTGGCTGTGTTTTACTTTAATGGATAGCATTAGCAATACAGAGTACTCATTTTGAAACATGATTTGAGATTTGGGTGTGTATTCTTTATAAGCAGTGATGGCGAACCTTTTAGAGACCCGAGTGCCCAAAAACTGCCCCTGCCCCCACTCCATCCCCTGCCCTGCCCCCACCCTGCCTGCCCGCAGGGCCTCACCGCCTCCAGGGCCTGCCGCAGATCGCCCAGACAGCTCAGAAGCACCATGGCGGGCATGCCTTCTGCCCATGCCCCGCAGCATCAACTGCGCGATGGGGCGTGAGGGCAGAGTCTTGTCTATGCTGCCTGGCTGCCATGTCCTTGGCTGTGCCTTTCCACGTGGGCCACACTCGGGGGCAACTCTCCTCCTGGGGGAGGCAAGGCTGGGGCAACAGCACGTGTGCCCACAGAGAGGGCTCCGAGTGCCGCCTCTGGCACCCGTGCCATAGATTTGCCACTACTGTTATAGAGTATGTCATTTTTCATAGAACTATGTCTAAGGGAAGTGTATACATTTTTACATGTTACCAAAGAACACTTTCTGAAGTGAAGTGGAGAACTTTGCATGCATTCTGTAGTTTCTAAAAGGTAAAAAGAGTATGGGGCAAATAAAACGTATACATTTCAACTTCCCTAAACCAGTAATATGTCCCCCTTGTACTTAGTGCTCTTAATTTATATCGCCAATACATCAAATCTCTACCTTTAATTATATCCAAATACTAGAATTGGGTGGAATAGTGTTTTGGTCCTGCAAGTCTAAACCTCTGTGCAAGAATCCAAATTATTGCACTTGGATAGGCTCAGCTTGAACCCGGGCAATTGATTGCAGTGTCAGACTGTTGCTACTAGCAAGAATTGTCAACTGTTTAAATGATATCTGTTTTGTTATTTAAATCCTTTATACTTTGTTTTTTTAGCATTTGAAAAAATGCACTCATAACCCTCTGTTTTCTCCAGGCTAAACATTCCCAGTTCATTCAATTTCTCAATAGTGTTTAGCTGCCTTTGCCTGTACCTGTTCTAGTTATACTGAACCCACTGAGAAGATCAACATACCATGTAATAAAAACCAAGAGTAAGAGTAAGAATAATTCTGTGGTATGAAAAGGCAATGTTTTTAGTTCCAAAGGCTACATATGTTACCAAACTAGTGGTAAGTCCATAAATTCTACTTTCTTAATTATTTTTTTTTCTTCCATGGTAAATTGGGAAAGTTGCTAGTCTGCTCCCAAAATTCAGAGGACTTAAAGTGGGCGGGAGGCTTGAGGATTGCAATTGGCTCATAGCTCACAGGTACCTTACTCCCTGCTATAGGTCAAATAATATAATTAGGAGTGGTGATTAACTACTTTCCCAAAATCCCTTTAGCCTCAAGGGAAATATATTTTGCTTCTCAACTTGACTAATTATTTTCCTGACATTAACAGAACTAAAGTACTGAGCGTCAATTAACCACTGAATAGCTTGCAGCCCAATAATAAATCAGTATTACCGGTACATGACTCATTTTATGGCACCAAAGAAAACTCTAGGCAATTTGTTGTCTTCTACCCCTTTTCAAAGCAGGTAACTGGAGTAATTGCACACTGTGAAATGTATGACTTTTAATATCAAACGAGCAATCTTCCTTTGTAGAAAGAAATGATCCTTTATTCTCCAATCAAAAGGTGATTTGTAATTAGAGGTGGAAAAAAGCTGCTGTGTATTCTAATGTAAAACTTGCTAGTTTTTGTTCAAGGGATAAGCATGGTGAAATTAACACTTGACATACTTGCCTTTGCAAAAGCAGTGCATTGCAAACTCCTTTTTTTGAATTTCCAAAATTTCATTACCTTGAAATAGTTACCACCTCCATCATTAAAGGTGATATGTATTCTCACACTATGAGTAAATTGGCAATTGAGCCAAGGCCTGAGACAGGAGGCTGAATTAGCGTTAGGTTTTGTTTCTGTCCTGACCAACTGGGTTCACATTAAAGTCTGGAGGTATTATACAAAGATCTAGCTCTCTTGAACAATCCATAATGCTGGGAAAGTGGGTAGGAAAGAGAAGAAGATGACCAGTGCACAATCTGGAGGTCCTTCTGAACTCATGGCTTGTGTTTAAGGAACAGTAAATACCAGCAGTAACTATAGATCAAATTGAAATTTGGAAAATTCACAAGTCGGTGCTTGATTTATTTTTTTAAATAATTTTATTAAGAATTAATGAAAAGGAAAAAAAACCTGAATTATGAAAAAAACTACAAAAATAAAAAATCCAAAAAAATAAAAGTGGAAAAAAAAAGTAACTTCCCCCTTCATCTTAGCAACTAAAGATAATTTTAATAGTTAATCACCATCTCTTAAGTTCAACATAATCTCTCTTCACTCAATAGTTCGCCCCTTAAGTAACAGTCTAAATGTTTGTCAGTCATTCTTTTGTCAGCAAAAAATCCAATGGGCAACCAGTTATATTTTTCATTTAGCCCTGATAGAATTAGGCAACCTTCTATTCCTTTCCTAAGTTTTATTTTTACAAATCTTAGTTTTGAGTCCTTCAAAAAGAGTCCCAGTTCATCTATTTTAAGCTAAAAATCTTTCAGAACTTTAATTATGCAATTATAATTATATATTTTTGTATATTCAATAAGTAAAGTTTGTCCCTTGTTTGTCACTTCTAATAAAGTCCTTCAGGACTTTACTGAACTCTTTTTATATATCCAGTTTTAAAAAATACAAATCAGTTTCCTGATTCAATTTGGTGCCCAAATTGCATTGTTTACCTTTTGAAAATCTAACTTGTCCAAATTAGGGCACAGTTCAACCTGCTGCTACCATATCCAAGGTTTGTTATTAGTTTACTTACCTTGACGCCAACTTGAAGTATGACTTAGCCATTTCTTCCCTCTGACCTAGAGATAGGAAACTAGAGCATCCAGCAAACATGAAAATTGTGCCAGGAATGAAATGTGCTGCATGCAGGCACTACAGTGTCTATGCAATGTCTAATGATTTATTTAATTCCCTATAGTTTCTATGATGGAAATTGTGATTTATTTTATCTGACCAGTTGCCTTGCAAATATATAGAGAAACTCCATATGAATTACATTTAGCTCTCAGATCTCTCTCCCTGTGGCCAAGCTTCATGAGTAAATTCATACATTCTTCACAGTAAAAACTTTTGTACCATAAAACTACAATACAATATGTCAATTTTCAGGGTTTCAGTATAGATCTCTTTGAAGACCATTTTAACCTAAGAAGTCGGCAGAGGAATAAAAAGGTATTTGCCGTAGCAGTTGATTGGCATCTGTCACAATGCTGAATAATAATAATAATAATAAAGTTGGAAGGGACCTTGGAGGTCATCAAGTCTAACCCCCTGCTCAGGCAGGAACCCTATACCATTTCAGACAAATGGCTGTCCAGTCTCTTCTTAAAAACTTCCAGTGTTGGATTATTTCTACTTTAGATTCAAATATTAACCACTGAAATAATTAAAAACTTAAAAGTTTGACCAAAGCTCCAGTTTTGAAAGTAGATTTTTTCCTCAACATTTATTTAGTAATTGGGCTTCCACACCATTT